CCCTTTGACGACCGTATGGCCCGCCGGCGGGCCACACCAAATCGGTCGTGTGGGACCGTATGGCCCGCCGGCGGGCCACATGCGTGTCTGGCGTGCGGTCCCACACGCTAGACACGTTTAGAGCGCGCGGTCGTCAAAGGGTTAAGCTGGATCAGTTTCTGCTTCGGTTTGTCTTCAGTTTTCGTTAGTCTATTCAATTTCATTAGCTGATTTGTGGAATTTTCTTGTAATAAGCGAGAACGGATTTAGGTTGCTTCCGCATGTTCAGTCGTAGACAATATCTTGATGCTTCATCGTCAGAGAGAACACGGGCTGTTGTTCAAGCCAATATTTGATCCCCAGGTTAGATATTACCACATAAGTGACTGACTGGGAGCGTGATCCTTTTTCTCTGACTCGATCGTTTGTTTCTCAGAACTTCTGTTCTTATGTTTTGAACCTTGTAAGCAGAGTCTTGCCTTTTGAATGTGTCCTTCTTCTTCCACTTGTCCTGTTTTAGCCATCATATACAAATCGGCCAATCTTGACTTTTTATATGCACATGTACTCTCACGTGTGAGGCAATTTACAATACGAGGCCCCATAGGTTTTACATCAAGATGGGCCGAGAAGCTATTTTCAGCATCATCTGATACCACTGTATTTGTTCATTTGAAGGAAATTGCTAACGCTGAAAAAGAAGCCGATCGAGAGTTACGAATAGAGCAGCAAGAAAATCTGTCGTGTGAGTACGGCCAATCTGACCAGGTGCGTAAGACTAAATGATTAGCGACCCTCATTAGATATTTCATTGCCATATTTTCAGCTTTTGGTAGATCCTTCTACAAATATGCTGGTTCATGTGTCAGAAGACGGCATGGTGCTTGAACCGGAAATGGAACAGCATACTTTCTTGCAGGGTGAATTTGTGGAAGAAAATGATGAAGCGGCGTTAGCGGAGGTACCGAGTTTTGGCCTTACACGGCGATTAGCTCAAACTTTCAACTTTTCTCTAGAAACTGATATTATAGCAATAATTGACCTCAATCGAGCGTGGAAAATAATTCCTTCTAAGGGGTCGTTAATGATTGTAATCACGAATACTACACTTATTTTTGACGCCGGTGCCCTTCGGCGCCGTTATAGTGTCCCGAGGGAACTGTGAGTGTTGAGTTTGCACCTGATGACGCCAGTGCCTAAAATGAATGTTAAAGTTTCTGAGCATGGCCATCGAAAAATTTCTATACTCGACTTCCTAGCTCGTTTGAAATACTATTTTTTAACGTGCGCATGTGCGATTGGCACGTTCTTAGAAAATGTTCATATATAGGTCGTGGTTCGAATACCAAGTAATAACTATAGAATTAGTGTCAGACAAACAGCATTTTTTCCTGCCTCACCATACAGGAGCTGTGGTAGTGCACTATTACCAGGTATTTTTATTGGATCATCCGTAAGCCTTTTTTCAGTTTATGGTAGACGGGATAGCCGATGCAAGTTCTACAAATTCATACGCAGGCGCAGAAAGTAAAGTTATACAGTATATGCCATCGGACATTGGACTGGATCCAGGTACATCCGGAGTTGTTGGCGTTCCTCTAATCGAGGAGGAGGACCTCGAGGAGGAGGTCAAAGTAATGCCACAGCATCGAAGGGAGGAAATACCGGAGTCCTACAGGGATGAGGTGAGTCCAAGTTATTCCCCTGGTTTCCACAGTTATACTCTTACTAACCACCATTTTTTAGTCAAACGGTAGCGATGCCGGCAGCGTAACGAGACAAAGGACCGAGTGGTGAACATTATGAGGAAAAAACCCCTACCACCTTCAATTCTCAGTCGTAGGCAATGACTGTGTCAAGGATATTAACATACTAATCAAAATTAATGTTGTTCTCGTGTGGCTTTTTTTTTTTTTCATTGTAGCTCATCTTTCGGTGAGTGTGTAATACGGGCATTTTATCTGTTTTCTGGAGCTTTATACTGTTTGAATTGTTGAAGATTCGTTGAAGAGTATTTTGAAGATTCTATGTTTTCTGTTATGGTTATTTTGTTGCGAAGTGTTTGTTTTAGCGATTTTTGCTCAACATAAAAAGTTAGCCTACACTGTGGATATTATACCAAAGCCGGTTTTAACCGTGGAAATACCTCAAAAGTAGCGCTTCTGTTGGAGATCGTTGATTGCTTGTCCTTGTGATTTCATAGATAAGTGAGCCCATTCGTGAGCTTACATGAGAACCCTTAACTCTAAAACCACTAAAACGGGTCAATAGCATACTTATTTCTCGTGTTGGAAAATATAACGCTTGCAGAATGTTTGAAGAGGCTGCATCTGTCGTAGGCCCCTCCGGGATGAGTTATATGAACTACGAAAGTCCAATTCACACTACGGTAGAAGAGCTCGAAGCAGCAGAGGTCAGTTGTTTTCGTCGTGTTTTTTCATCACTATTTCCTCACTCTTCCTGTTGTGTGTTTTTAGTTTTGCCTACTGTAATATTTAAGGACCGGATTATTGATGTTCAAGTAGACCATATGGAACCGTACGACTATGAGGAATGTGATAAGGCAAGGAAGGCCTACAGCTGCATTAGAGTTATGTCTTCTAATAGATTTCTTCTACAGGGACGAAATGAATCGAACTACGAGCGCAGTTCAATCAGGAAATATCGTATGGTTCGGCGAAAACCAGCAGAAACCTTTTATTGTCGACCTTGTATGAAAGAAATTAAATATCCATCCAAAATCGCCGAGCACCTGCGGAAACACACTGGTGAGCGTCCCTATCAGTGTCAGATATGTGGCGCTGGTTTCTCACAAGGACATGTATTGAAGGTGTGTGTGATTCACTTTGTATTGGTTCTTGCGGAATTGAAAAGTTTGTAGGCGCGACTGGCGACCACGTCCCATTTTCTTCTTTTGCTCACGTGAAATTTCTTCTTTCTACTTCTAGCAGAACATTTAGTGGTACAGTGAATTTTCAGCAAGTGGTTTCATTATACATTTCAGGTTCATTTGCGTAGTCATCACGGTGAACTACCGTACAAGTGCTCGTATTGCTCTAATTCGTTTCCATCGTTGTCTTTGAAGAAGCAACACGAAAAGGTTCGATTATTCGTTGTTTGCTTGTGTGTTCCAGAATTCGCTGACAGTGCTCTTCTGTTGCTCATGTTATTCTCATTTTAGACCCACTACCAACCGGATGGTAAAGACGCTACGCAAGAGGAACAAATGGTGATCCAAGAAAGTGTCGAACCTGAGGTGAACGGCGAATCTGCACATGCTGGCCAAGTCACAGTCGACACCCATATCTATGCATGTCCTGTACTTGACTGCGGCATGCAGAGTCAAAACAAAGAAGAGGTAAGACCCCGCATGTGTGAAGCCGTTGCTATGCAGCATGTGATACCCTACGTAGAGAAAGCCTAACTGCAAGGTTTCGAGTGCTGGGGAAAGCCAAAAAGTTGAAAACGTCTGCTTGAACTTATCACTAAGCGACTCGTTCTAGTCACAGGGCCTGTCTTAGTTCATGCCATTGGAAAACATTACTTTTATGTGGTATAGCTAGTGTCGGTTTGTTTCGTCTAAGGTTACGTGCGAGACGGAAGGCAAGCTACTTCTTCGAAAGGCCCCCTTCAATTCACGTTTCTGTTTCATTTTTTTGTGTAATTTTCATCGAAACTTACTTCATACCTTTTCATCTTCTGAAAATGGGGCTCAGTGCTGGAATGCATTCCCCACCGACCATGCCGAAGGGGTTATAGCTCAACACAATAATCCGCAGACTTTATTTTTGTCCTTTCTATTATACTGCCTCAAGGCTAAGCACAAAATTTTCTGTTTGACGTTGTAATAGTTTGGCAAGGAACCTGGAAAATTTAGCTTTTTCACTTGAGAATCCTTCAGTTGTACACATCAAAATTCCGATCGTTCAGTGTTGCATTATTACGCTAGTTGATAGATAAAAAGGCCGGTTCGTACTGTTAAATGACAAGTCTTAAGTATACATCCAAATAACAAGTTTTAAGTGGGTCACTGTAAAGCACTCATTATTACGCTGAACACTCGTCATGGAAAATCTGCACGGGGCACTTCAACCATATATTTTGCAGCGCTTTCCGAATTACTGTATTATTGCTGGCTGAGAATTCGAAATGGGGGCAATAAAATCACGTTTCTATTGGCCCCCATCATTGAGTGCCATTTTTTCCACAAATATGTATGTCACACCCGCTATTGAATACGTTTTTCGTCAAAGGGTCAGTTGCCGATGGTATCACATATCACAGACAAAATTGGGAGCAATCTTTCAAAAGTGTCTTTCAAAAATGAAGTGCTTTCTTCTATTCCAAATGGAATATAGAAAAGTTCGATGGGATGTTCTTGTTTTGATTTTTGAAAACTGCACTAATTTAAGGTAGAGGAGCACATTGCTGTTGTTCATGGAGAAATGCAGGAGTGGATTGAAGCTGGAGCAGAGACTGCCGTGTATGGTGACGCTGAAGAAGCCATTGTTGTGGATGAAACTGATGAGGACAGAAATCAGGCTGTTGAGCCGGAGCAACAGCCTATTCTTGTAACCGAAGATCAACAGTACGACTATTACCCTTATGAAGAAGCAGGTTGGTAGTTCTCAAGAACATATTGATTGACCTTGTTACCATTTTTACAGACCCATCAAAGCAACAAGTAGATGAGCTCGTGTCGAACAATCTATTATGTGGGTAGGATAGAGTAGCCCGCGAGTATCACAGTTGTGCCGTTGTCGCGGCTCGAAAGTGCGCGACAATGGCGCTAGGGCCTTACAAAGTGAGCTAATGACGGCTAATGTGAGCTAATGGACGAGATATCGCGCACACTCCATGACACGAAGCGTGGATCAGCGTGATTCAGAAACGCGCGGGTTAGAAGAGTCATGGAGCAAGCAAGTGCAGACAACTGATTCACACAGGCCACCATTTTAAGGGGCAGAGAGAGTCTTCATTTAAGGGCTTCTTGCCCTGCCTTGCCTTTTTTCATTTTCAGTCATCCGAAATTTTATTATCAACTACTGTTACTCCACCTCCTTACTGTTTTTTTTCTGATCTGGGGTTGTTGCTTTAATGTACTGATGTTTAGCAGGGTAGGAGGGCTATCGCATTAGGACCAATAGCCGTTACTGAACCTCACTTTAGAGTACTATATTCACCTTACCTGTTAACAAATAGCCGAGTGTTGTGGTTCAAGAGCGGTCGCCTTCTTAACCCGACGCGTCGAGATGGTTTGGGGCCCTTGTGGCCTTTCTTAGGCACACGTCGTCCTACGGGTCCTTCCCGGGGACCATGCGGTTTCCAACATGCATGAACCTGCCGCACCCCGAGGGCTTCTCGGGTTCCTAACCCAGGAATGGGGTTCACAGGTTGCAGCAAGCGACAACACAATGGCAAGACTAGTCGTCGTCCCAGGCCTTTCCAGCTTATGTCTCGGATAACCCCACAACGACCGCAGTATATGAGTAACCCATAGCGCCTTAGTTGGGCCCAACCCCTGGCGCTTCCCAAAGCTAACCCATCTATGTGAGCATGTAAACAATACACCATTTATTGGAAACTCGGTTTGCTTTCCGTTAACTTCATTGTCCTACAGTGGTACTTCTTGCTGGGCGTGCCTAACGTACCAGCTCTCCACAGCATGCCCGACCATGCTGCCTGGTGCTCGAAGGCACCCCGAGCCGAGGCACGAGCTGTTCGCCTTCCTTGCGTTGCCCGGCCTGCTTTGTGAAGTTTGAGACTTCCAAGTTACCCTACCAAATTTAGGGTGAAGAGCTGAATTTGGTGATCAAACCTTGGTTTGCACCGGTATGCTCGCCTTGCTTCCTCGTATATGCTAAGAACCAACGGGGTCCAAGAGTGCCATCCATGTCGGCGTGAGAAGTACGAGCGGGGTCCTGTGCTGCGCCTGCCCTCCCCACTCGTCACGCGGGGGTCAACGTCAAAAGCCTTAGAATCCTATGGTCACCGCTGATTACCATGACCCGCTAAATCTACATCACGCCAGCAACCTGCGTACCGCGGCGTTACGGCTGGTAACTGTACACTGACAATGAGCTGAAGCACATGTGTGCAAAAATAAAATATGTCACGGTGGATTACTGTTTGAGGGACTTGATCAAAAACACAATCAACAACCATAGAATCATTTGAGTCTACTACGAATAAATAACCATGAATAGAATAAACATTAAACTACCACGACCAATACAAATAGAAATACCACCAACCTGACTTCGGGTCGAACCCTTGCTTTTCCTTGCGGGGAGAAACGTGATACCGGTCCCGCGATCCATCTCGGACATCCATTCCAATTCTCTTCTTCCATCTGCCCGACACGTGTGACCGAAGCGGTGTCGTACGAAGAACAGCGGGACCACGTCGGAAGGGCGAACAGCGTTGCGGCCATACTCGACGTCTTCGACGCGAGGGTACGCAAGCTCTGCGTCTCTTGTCTGCATACAGAATCTTCGACCGGACAGGCGCATAGGGAACCAGGCCCGACTCTTTCAAGAAGTCACGTGGAGGTCACAACACTTGGATTGTTCGGCGTCTACACTTGCTATGCTTCCATCCCTTCGGAGTCGGTCACTACGATAAAAGTTGTCTGGGTCGATAAAGACACTGGCTTGCATATCGGCTGAGTCTCGCTATTCATTTATGTATAAACCTGACCGCAATCAAGATGTCACTACGGTTCTGGATGAAGTAGAATGCGTTGCGAATCCTAAAAGGGGATTAATCAACACCGGACGTTCTATTCTTGATACCCTTGCTAAAGATGTCCTCATACTACTCGATTGAAATTTCTTGAAATATACTCGATCGTTCCAGATATCGTGGTTGACGATTCCCCGTGGGTTGTGTTGAGCTACCAGAATCGCGAATCGCTTTGGAAAACGGCATAATCAAACGATCGAAGCGACAGATGGGAACGTTCCAGCGCATCAGAGTTCAGGTATTGTCTGGTTCGCCCTATTTTTATTTTATTGGTTCAAATAAAGGTTTGATTGAATTTCCTTTAAGTTATACAGATTTTCAATACATGGATGATCAGAATGTGCTCTCCATGAAGAATAGAGGTTTTTCTAGCTCTTTTTGTTGGAGCTACAGTCGATATCCGAAAGTTGGGGTGGGTGTGTCACCGGAAGTGACGTGCACTTGATAGAAGTGCGTGGATAAGCTGTTGCCAGCATGCTTTGCTGATAGCCAGCGATGTATGTTGGAAGCAGCTTATCCACATAGTTTCTATCAAGTGCACGTCACTTCCGGTGACACGCCCTCCCCAACTCACCGATATCGATGTAAACGCATCGTTTTGTACTCCTTCTGACTAGTAAAGGACGCCATTCGTTACGGGTCCCACTGCCTCCTGCTACAGTGAACCCTTCAATGTGGAGCGGGGAATCCGTGAGCCAGGGGCAGTGTCGCCAGTCTAGGGGGGTGGGGGGTGAGGGCAGACACTTGACATGCGTGAGAAGCTGGAATGTTCGAATTCAACCGCGATCACATGGGATCCCCGCGGGTTAAGGCAGTGGGTCCCGCAACGAATGGCGCCCTATACTAGTCAGTAGGAGTACAAAATGATCACTCCATCCGGAGTACTCTTCATTGTTGATATCAATTAATTTTTGATTTGATCATAGGTGGAAGTCAGGAGCACAGTACATGATCGATGGGGGAGCTCCTACGCATATGCCGCTACAAGAAGCTATCATCTATGATAATGTCGTTGAGTAGGTTTTATATGTTTTCTAAAGTTATCCAGTATCGTGAAAACTTCAAGCAAAAGTCATCAATGCGCGCGTCATTTCCAGAAGGTGATTGTTAGGTTTTTGGCCGCTTGTGGTGTGCAGCAATCTCTTTTTCAGGAAATTGGCATTAACATGTATGTGTTCATCTGACACAAGAAAACAGTGATGGACGTGTTCGTGTTTTTAATCGATCCGAAACCACCTAAAAAAGGACGGTTAACGTACGACGAGTATTACGACAGAATTGTTGTACGTCTTTTGTTAAGAATTCAGCGCTATCTATAAATTTACACTAATTTTTATCTTGTTTTGTTTCTTAACTGCTGTTTTAACTTTTTAGCCTTTTATTTGCTTGCCCGATGAGCAAGAGGTGGTGGTTCGAGGGTGTTATCCATAAGTACAGAAGGGGTGCAACGCGTATCGCGCGCGGCGCCTTTGGCAGGCTGCCAACAGGTCACCATCTAGGTGAGTTATGGGCGCAGAGTTGTCGCTTAACCTCCATCATCACATTTCACTAGCAGTGGCTGCGTTTTATGTCTGCAACATTCCACAAATGTCCTCATTGGCTCCCCATACAACGTTTTAGACTGTTGGTACCAGACCAGACCGTGTTGCTCAAGAACATTTTAGTTTATCTGAAATAATTCATCTTTTGTAGACGCCTTAGCTTTCGACTCGAGTTCTCTGAGTTCCCAGTTATTTTACATGTTGACGGTTATTTGAGATCACCGCTCAAAGGGTAAGTAAGGTGAGGTAAAGGTTAATGTTATTTAGAAAAGGTAAGTAAAATCAGAATTTAGCGCCCCCATCCGAAACTCGCCGGCTACTAACACAGAATGATGATGAATCCGATTGTAGCCGTCAAAGCCTTGATTAATCATGTTAGGTGTTACATACATATATGAAAAAGTCAAAAAAAAAAAATAATCTTGGTCTCGAATAATAGCAGTGCATTGGAATTTGCCCCAAGCTTCAAAACTTGTTGTGCACTGCCGAGAATTCTCTTCAGCCTTCAGACCAATTGAAGCTATTGCGACGGCAGTTTGATGAAGAGATCGGACGAAAGAATTTAGCAACTTCAGCTTTCAGATACTAATAGTTAAGAAGTAGGTAGATGTCCAGATGTGAAAGTTTGGGCCTATGTGGACTTTGCGGACCGCCGCGATTCGATAGCGTCTGCGGTCGGGTCGCTCGTGAATCCTCTGGGATGGTACTTGCAACGCGACGCAGACGCTGGAGCGAATCGTATAGCGAATTCGCGCGTGGGGCGCAAAGTTGATCGGCTTAAGGGACGAGATCAGTGGATGGAGGAATTGTTGGGTATTCTAGTATTTGACTCATACGTATGGCCTTTCGGAATGAAATGGAGGCGTTCGATACTCAGTTGTTGATTACCACTATTACACTCGAAAGTGGTCAGAATAAGGGAATTCGACTCCAAAGGGAGGATTGAGTGTTAATTACACCACCACCAATAATACATCTGCACTAGTGAAAGGAGACCTGGACAGAAAGAAGTAGTTGTAGGGAGTATCTGTCAGAACGTGTAATAGAGTGATATCTTAAGATCTAGAATGCTCAGTCTTCAGTAAAGTGGAATGAGCGTATAAGGGTGGACTTGCTGAGAAATCAGCCGACTGCTCTGCAACCCTACAGACGCGTTCCAATATGGGATGCGCGCGCGACACGCGTTGTCTACCCCTCTGTCTTTATAGTATGCTGCGGGCTCGGTCCTCTGGGGCGAAGTTTGTCACAACAGTATTCTTGTGAAGCTATTTTTTATCTCTTCTTCAGAGTAAGAATATGCAAGAGATGGAAGTGAACGCTGCGACAATAGAAATGGCGGCGCCGGGTGCGTCATGTGAGTATGATGACAGAGGAAGGTCCAGTGATGGTAGCGCATCCGGCTGGCAGAATACGTAGGAATCGTTTGATACAATCACAGTCTGATCGACCTAGTGGGAGCAAGGAATCTAGATTGGATCATCGATGCGGTGGCTCGTGTGAGTAATTTGAACGCGAGCATCTGTTCTAATTATTTGTTGTTACTGGTTCCTAATTAATTTCTAATTTCCACTGGACTTATCGTGCAATAGAGTTCACTCACGGTGAATTTCGCTTGATGAGGCTGAATTCCACGCCTATGGGGTCATGTACTTTTCAGGGGCCACATCCTATCCCTTCCCAGGCTAGGGGAACAAAAGAGTCCTTCAAATTTATTTGTTTTCAACGACACTGTTCCCTTACTTTCCGCACTTGTTTGCTTTTCACACATATATACATTACAAATATGCAGTTTCTCAGAGCGATTTTTGTGGAAAGACAAAAAAAATTGAAGGGGTTTTTTGTTCCCCTAGCCTGGGGGAAGGATAGGATACGGCTCCCAGTCGATAATTTTCCGAGATAAAGTAAATTCCATCATTCAAATGCTTAATTCCATGCATGTCTATGAAGTCTTTCTTCATAGAAAGACTAGAAGAAATTGCTTTGCCTCCGTGTTCCAACAGCGACTGCAATTACGATTTTCTACCTACTTAACTGGATGCAGGTTGATCACCTTCTAACTGATTCCTTCCAAGTATTGTTTAGGGATTGGACATAGACTCCGCAAGTCCTCATAATCGGCGAAAACCAGTCATGCACAAATGCCAGTTTTGTGGTCGAATCGACAAGTATCCTAGTAAGATCAAAGCACATCTGCGTACTCATACTGGAGAGAAGCCATTCAAATGCGATATATGCGGGATGACGTTTGCACAACGAACTCCAATGCGACTACATGTTCGACGGCATTTGGATCAAAAACCGTAAGCAAATAATGCATGGTGGCAATATGGCTCTAGAAGGTCCTATGATTCAAAATTTAGGTATATATGCAGTATAGAAGGCTGCGATCTGCGGTTTGTATCCGGCGCCTTGTTGAATTACCATCAACAAACGAAGCATTTCCTTACGAAAAGGTGAGTTAATGAGTGTTTTTTGGATTGTATCTGTTCTATGGATTTAAGGAAGCCTTAGTTAGCCAAAAAATT